TTGAAAAAAAAAATAGCATTGAAGTTAATAAAATTAATTAATTGGCAAACATATTCAAATTCAACTTCAGAGTCATTAAAAAATTATATAGAAAAATTGTTATCGATGTAAATAATAATAACTTGATTTAATATAATATAAAATGATAACATACAATGAGGAAGGAAAAAAATCACTTGAAAACTGGTTGTCGTTAAGGTGATTCATAAATTAAACGTGAATAAATATAAAAAAAAACGTTTAGTGTTTAAAAAATTTCATCTTCTTTTCTCTAGCAAAAAATGTGATCATTTGCATAGTAAATAATATGCTTTAAATTTAATATATGTGACTTACTCTTGTATATTTATATTCACTTGCATGGCAACTAAAAATTGCATACCCAGATTGTATATAGTAGTAATCGTGTAATACATCTTAAATTAAATCAATAGACATTTTTTATTGACTTTTCGAGGAATTCTGTCATTGACCCCCTTTTTTTTTTAATTGTAAACAAATTCTATGATAACAGTCCAGCGTGGACATTTTTGATTGTAGATTTGTACTCTTCCGGGTGCGTATATTTGTTATAAAATGTACTATGAGTTCTGGCAATTGAAGTGAAAGCATACTTTTTGGTGAAAAAAATGAAACAATTTTTCGCACCTATTACTCAACATGAAAATCGTCAATTCACAAATGATAAATTTGAAATTATTTCTAATTATTAATATTTATTTATTTCCTAATTTGTATGCATATTGTAAAAAAATTATAATTTGCTCATATTTACCTTAACATATTCGTAATAGTTAACATTGTGATTATCATTGGTTCTAGTAATTTAATACCAACGACACACCGCAATAGCTTATGGTAGGCCTTTACGGTATAGGTAGATGATTGGGTAAGTATATGTAGGTACCCATACCCAACGTATTAATAATTTCGTCAGGGAATACAATGTTATGTAGATTTAATATTATTGTAAGTAGATAAATCAATGTTAGTACGCAATTAAATTTGTTGATTGTATATTAAAATAATATACCTACTCGACAAGACGTCTCTTGTACTGGTCGTATCTGCACACTGCAGGCCTTCGTTGGGAATCGTTTACCCATGTATTGTGATACATATTCACTTTCGGCCTCGATAATATAATCATCACAATAATCAGGCAGAAAAATAATTTTTTTTTTTTGTAATTCCAGTCAGATGATTTCATGTCAATTTCAAAACAACAATTATTTTATCTCGCCATTCGATTTTCAAACGATTAGTTTATATTATTTACAAGTTTAATAATCGTAATGATTTTAATTTTGTGTCAAGGTTTTTAAAGAAGTATAGTCAATTTTTAATATCGAAATACATTAATATATTTTAAATGATTGTTGTTTTGTTTTTTTGTTTATTTTGTTATAACATTAATAGACAGTACCTATGTACTTTTATAGATGTAGTAGAAAAGTAAAGTTCGATTACAAAGTTGAAAACGAGAAAAAAATCTATAATAGCACACATACAAATATAAATAATACAATAGAACATCCTTAAATTATAAAACATCAGATTTTAAATATCAAATTAATTGATGTAATTAGTTGTATAATAACATAACATTAAAAAAAATAAGCTCTCCTGGTGGATGATTTTTAGATAAGAGCTTGTAAAAATAAATGTTCCCTCATTTAATCTAAGAAAGTACAATGTATGTAGTCAATAGATAATTTTAAAATATAAAAACCTTTTACTCGTAGCTCAATTGATTGTAGTCATATAGTCTGGAAGCTAAACAAGTAAAAGTTCTGTAAATTAAACAAGTAAAACTTCTAAAATGACTTAAGTATACTGTATACTTATATATTTTTTAAATAATTTAACTATTCTTTATTTATTCTTTTATTTATTATACCATAATATTATTTTTTTAACTAATTGACTAAATGTTTATATTGTTATGTGAATAAAAATATTGAAATTACACAACACTAAAATAGAATATTTTGTTTTTTTTTGTGTAAAAGTATTAAAAAAAAAAAAAAAAAAAATGTGATTGAAATGCAAAATAAACTCAAATAGGATATGGGTTATAAAATAATGAAATAATTACTTGACATCAACAATACATATATGCATACGAATACTACTATATCTATAACAGTAGAATGTTATAAATTAATATGAATTACGTTCCTCAAATTGGCAAAATAATAAAATTTGATTTTCAAATCTTTGGACTAATTGAAAAATGAAAATGTATGAAAATGACATAAGCATATACAACCTATCAGTTTTTTATTGAAATATTGTTTTTTTGTATTTTAGCTTTGTATGGCAATTGTATGTCAAAAAAGATTTTGGAGGAGTTGAGAAGAAATAATAGATACGTTGGTTAATTCGTTGGGATGAAAAACTGAGTCAGTTGAAAATTAGGTGGTTTATGTCATAAACCATAGGGTCATTGTGAAGAGTGCAGAGTACATTATTTGATAGAACACAAATCAATACAATTACGAAATATGTATAGGTATGTCTAAATACGATGTATCATTATTAATATTATCAAAGTGTTCTTTTAGTTGCAATACCAAATAAAGTGTTAACGAATTGATTACCATAAGTAAAATGTAAAATGCTCTTGAATTTAAATACCTATATGAATTATACATAGATATAGAATTGTAGGGTACTATAAAATGGTCTACACTCGATAAAGTGTATTCTACGGTCAATCAAAATTAACATTGTGTGGAATTCCATAATAACGTGTTTATGTATACCGACATTTAGTCAATATTATTTTTGAGCGAAAAAAATAAAAATAGTAACTGACATCACCTAATGTCCGTCTGCTCGCGTTCATATTTTCAGCTAACGTGCGAACAGTTTTCATTGCTCTGTTAAATGATTATCGGCCAACGGTGGCACCCAGTCCTTATAATTATCGTGTGCGCCGTGGTAACATTTTCATTGTGCGCTCAAAACATTGCTCGGAGTACAGATTTTATCTAATCAAAGTCTAAAAAGGTATCAACAACGTTCTGTACAGTTGGTGCTGTATAGGATATTGTGTTGAAAAAAAAAATGATCATAATAATGGTTCAAACGAATTAGTCAAACTGTACCTAACTCGTTTGCATATTTTATGAACTATATTTTATACGTATTGACACGTGCGGGTATCGGCTCGGCCGCACGAGTCCGCGATCTGAAGGTACACAAACACAGAACGCTAGAACAGCCTCCTGAGCCATTTGTTCACCAGTCGAATATGATACATACTCTAACCGTACGCGCAGTTGTAGCCGTGGGAAACTGACATTAATACAGCGACGCGTAATGCTGGTGGTAATTACTATTGGAGAAAATCTCGTCGGGCTCGTATCTATATATATATATATATCGATATGATTTACTTATAACGATAGAAATCGCAGCTAATATTCGTACAGGTATCCCAACTAGTTTAATTCGTATTGCAATACATACTAATCTGTATGTGTGTACCTACGGCAAAAAGAGTATTTAGTATTCAGAGGCATGCTCAGGAATTATAGAGTGGGAAGGAATTCGAAAACAAATTTCTACAGTTATTAAGGGTGAGTTTTTCTCTTAAACATTAAAATAAATATTCAGTATAACCGCACAAAAAATTATAATGATAATCCCCCGTAATATCCTATAATGTAGAAATATGAAATTTATACGTGTCTGGTATGGAATAATTATTCGTATTTTTATGTGTTCTTTATATTTTTTTATTAATACGTACTTCATAAAAATGATAGAAAAACAGATACAAGTTCAATGGAGTTCTACTACTTCCTCTTCAGCAAGCACCCACTTTTTTATACTATTACTACGTAGCAGGCGGATATCCAGGAGAACTTTTTTTTTTTCGGGGGGGAGGGGTTCAGCAAATTTAAACTTACTATTTGTAAAAATATAGCATATGTTGAAACAATAAAATTAATCAATTTATTGTGTTTAAACAAATACAAAATATTAAACATAATTAACATAATACATAACATACATCATATTCGAATTTCCAGGGTTAAAATAGTTATCACCTAATTACAACACCGTATCAATTCTTCTTTTTCTTTTTGCGCATTCATCCATCACTTCTTCTTCTGGATTAACTTCAATCGTCCTGTTAATATTTAGCTGTTTCTTATTATTATTATTTATTAACGCCCAAAAAGTAAATGATACTATATAAGTTAATCTACTATCTCAAGTTCATGGATACGTCACTGCTACGTAGTACTGTCTCAATGAGTTAATCGAGTTATTCAAATTTTCGCAGACGTCCGATTCCGTTTCACGATTCGTTGATGCGTAAGAATATCATTCGTGACCGCAACGTTATTGCGGTTCGCGTGTACACAATAAGTCTTTATGATCGCGGGCGGAAACGGTGGCCACGGCCGTTCGATCGTGCCGTAGACACGTCGCCGTCATCGACTTTGCGCGCAAGTGATCTTCGTTTCCCTTCGTGGTCGTTTTTTTCTCCCGGGCATCGGCGGCGGTACGCGCGCAGCGTTACACGGGTACGTGACGCGTCCGCCGCACCACCGGCGGCTGCACGAATCGCGATGCACTCTCATTGGTTTTGATTTTTTTTTTACTCTTTCCATGTTCGCGCGAAACCCGTACACCACACCACGTACCCGTGACACACATGCATACGTAACGAGCGCGGTGTACACGTATGTACGTGCAGTGCGGCGCGTTCGAGTTGTCGTCACATCATATTGTCGCCGCGAAAACTGGAAAACAGAGTGCCACAACCGTTGACCTATACCACGTTCATTACGGGAGTCGGATCGTTTTTCATTGAGTCGACACACGCACAAGCGTGCCGGCGCGTACGCGCAGGTTAGGTTGACCGGACCGGTTACCCCGGAGGTGGGGCGGTTCCCCGCGCGGCAATCGTCGCCGAGCCGGCGGGAAGGGGCCCGACGTCCACCGGGTACGGGCGTGTGCGGCGTGTGTGCGCGCCCGACGAGTGTGCGTGTGTACGGTACGCGCGCTCGACCGCTGTTGCAGTAAGTACCGCGTCTCATGTCAGTCCGTCTGACATAGCGTCCTCCGCATACCGCTCAGCTCCGCGCGGGTCTTGGCGTGTACAAAAGTGCGCTGGTGCGTGTGCGCGCGTGTGTTCGTCCGCTCGTGTAAAACGCGTGTGTGCCTTCCGCGACGTGTGTGCGTGTACGTGTGCACGCGTATGCGATATACAATAACGAAACACCACGAACATCGCGGGTCAGTGTGCGCCGGTGCGTGTCAATCATTCGCGCGCGCGCGCGCGCCTATTTTTCAAATTTTTTTTTTCCCCTCATTATTATTATTTTTTTTTTTTTTTTTATCGTTTTCTCTCCGTTCTCTCTCGTCCCCGACGCGCCTTCGGTCTCTCGCGAATATATCTGTTCACAACAACCTAATGTACCTACTGTACGGTACGTTCGCAATACGTACAATAAAACTATACCGATATCAATAACAGTACATACATATATATATATATTTAGTAACACAAACAATATAATTCGTCATTAATTACACACGCGTGCACTGTTCGATGACGGTCATGCCTTATGGATAAATCGGTAGCCCGTGTACCCGCCGGACCCGAACTAAAGGTTCGTAACAATACAATAATAAAATCGTGTACCACCTGTACGTCATATTATTGCAGTGCACATGCTTTTATGAATTTTTAACATATTCTACGCGGTGGCGGTGCGTTATGCACGTAACAGATAAACCAATACATCGATCTACGTTGATGACCTTTCGTCGGATGTGTTTTCGTCGTTCTGTAACAACAAAATAATGATAAAGCTGAATTAAAAATATAATAATAAATTAAAAGAATTAATTCCCTTGACACGAAATATCACGTTTATGCGACAAAGATTCGATGGTCAAACGGTTTTTCATTTCTAAACGACTGCAATGTTCTTGAATTCGTATCCGATTGATCTTAGAACATAAAATTATTAATTAAAATTAAATCGTTAAAATCATTAAAATATCTACCGCTTTGTTCTGCTCGACTAAATTCGTCCACGTTTTGTTATTCGGACGAAATTACGCGTGATCCGATTTCTTTGATACTATTAAACTTTTAAAATTGTATTTACATTTATTTTCAATTATTATACTTTATATAATAAAACTTATGGTTTATGTGATCGATATGCACAAAAATAATTAAATGGATTTGAAATATATTTGATTTTTTCATACCATAGAAAGGAAATATTAATTCATCGTTAAATTCTTCGTAAACACATTTTAAATCAAATCTAAAATATGTATTTATATTTCTCAAAACGAAAGTTGAACACAAATCATTTATCTTTCAATTTCAATAATGATTATTTTCAAGGTGGTTGAGTTTATTATTTAAACCGTAATTATTAATATTTACAAATGCGTACAAAGTTAAAACTAAGTTGCTATAAAATAATAGATTTAACTTTATTTTAGAAATCCAAATAATTTAATATTATTATTTATTTTACTTATCAATACCATGAATATTGCGTCGTAACAATTATTGTTTTCCCAAAATACACGCACTACATAAAAAATGTTTTCATGTGTCGCAAATTTACAAGAAATATTATTAAACTATGCTAATAAAATTTATTTTAGTATCACATATAATTATTAATACTTGTAGACCATTAATTTAAAACTTCTTTCACCTTTCACATTTATGAGTACATAAAATAAACAATTTACGATTTAAAAGAAAATATCTGAGTACGGACATATATATATAATATCGGAAGACTTATCTTCTCAAGGTCTGTGTATATCGATAACAATAAAAGTAGGTATATATAGTAACAGTAATATACGAATTCCTAATATTCATTGTAAACTTGAAAACAAAAAAACGAAATTCTGGAATATATAAAGTAGAGTAAAAACTATTCATAATTAAAATATAATACAAATTTTGTAGAATTTTAAGAAAATAAAAAATGAATACCAAACGAATATTTTCTAACTTGTTAATGAATGTATTCTTATACCGAGAAAGTGTTATTGTACTACATACCTAAATATTTTTAATTTTATTATATTAATGAACCAAATGTTAAAATTGAAAGTACCATACAAATTTTGGTTTAATAGTGTTTAACAATAAAAAGAAAACAATAATACGAATACATCGATAAATTTTTTAATAAACGTTTGTTCTGTATAGGCTGAAAATTTCAATCTTTGTTGAAATGAATACATTTTTTGTAATGATAACACATTATGTACGTTTATCGTTAAAAAAGTAAAAATCTTAATCCAGACGAAAATATTTGTATAGAACGTTATCAATTTCGCATGCCTACACCCTACTGTATATGGAGGTAGCATTTACATTTCATACTCGTTCCACCAATAGCGGTGTCAATCACTGTGGTCAGAAGTAATCGATATACGTATGATATGTATTATGTTTATATATATATATATTTAGTTATTTTTACGTTGAGGTTACTATTCAAACTCGAGTGATAAATCGAATATTTCACTTACGCAAACGTAACGCCATGCAGCTACGATTTGCGCGTAGTCCTTTTTAACATTATAATGTGTATATGTTTCAATATGTTACATAAAAATAAAGCAAAACCTTGATGTACAATAATAATAGTATTATGATCGATTTCTTTTGTACGGCCGATTCGTTCAGTTCAAAGATTCTACCGTATTATTATTTAATCGAGATCATTGCAAACAATCCAATCATAAAATGTACCGCCACATACGTGTTATTTGTGATAATCGTCGTCCATAACGCATAGCACAGTTATGTTATATCAATCAATGGTTAGCTTATCTACCTTATATGCATGTGACGTAATGAAAATCAACGTTTTCATGTTCCAGAACTTATAGAATTTTTCTAATATTATCAGTTTTGTTTGCCACTGCAGGAAGTGAGCCAATAAGGAACTTCATCAAGGTTCTTTCCTATTTAGAATTGTAACTACGATGTATATGTATGAATATATGAACAAATGTACGCGCGCCGCGTACGTGAATGCATTTTCAGCAAAACAATAAAACACCACTAATAGTAGGTAGGTTATGAATAATAATTTTGATCGTAAGCATTACATTCTAGTGAAAGGAATCAAAGTATCTATAACACAGAGACCAATAAGTTTTACAATCAAATTTCACTTAAACGGCAAAAAAAAAATATTGAATTAATTTTAATGTATGCGCGAAGCTATTTCGACAGATGCAGTTATTCAAATTTTGGAATCGTTTTATAATCGATTATAAATGCGGTTTCCCTAACTTGTTGTGTGACATTGTCGATTCATGAATGAGGTTCAAAAACCTCGGCGGCATCAATTCTGTATTAGAGTAGGCAGTGGCACAACATTGTGCCACAGCCTATGTGCGGGACCGGTTCTTCGGTGTCGATGATCAGGTGCCTAACCCGATATTTTGCAACAACGAAACCGATCGCTAGACGACGGATAGAATGGATAGATGTCAGTGCTTAATAAAGACTTAAATCGTCAGGTACCGTAAAATGTTGATGACGTGGCTATACCAATGGCGGCAGTGTTAACCGACAGCCCCGGGCGTCCCGATGCAATATAATGCGTAATAATTGCGAATGAACGTTTTTTTTTTTTGGCACACCCAAATATCAACTTTTCGCATATGAATTCAGTGCTTAATTTCCTTCCTGGACTCTATCAGATATTGAACAGATGTGGTATTTTATATTGAAATTTCTACCTTAAGCATTATCGACAAACATGCGCGCGCACACACACACACACACACACACACACACACACACATATATATATATAAAATGTATGAGGAAAAACATTAAGTCTTATAATAATTAAAATGTATTTAACTTAAATAAAGATAATTTTCTATGCATCTCTATGTTACACTAAAAATAAAAATTGTATAAAGGAAGATAATATATTATCAAATAGGTATATCAGAAATCAAATATTATAATTAAAGTACCTAGTTATAGTGAACTACTAATGAGACACATAAAAAATATTCTCATAGTATTGTAGGTTATAACAAGTAACAACTAGTATTTTTTATCAACAGGATACATTCGTTTAACTTTAATGAATAGACTACTTATATATTACAGCCATAATAGGCCACTACCTGGATGATTTTTTCAATAACAGTGTTGTGTTTAGTGGTATGGAATATTGGTACAAAATGCCTGCAAGCATCTAATTAACTTTCGCAAGCAAATCGAAAACACAACTGAACGCTAATGGTCTAAATTACATAAATATTTTCTACGACTGGTGTGATGCAAATTATACACAGGAAGTGTGTTTTAGTTTATGTTACACTGACGAATATGAGTCAAACTTTTGTGAAATTAAATCCATTAAATATGTCACGTTTTATTGATTCTGGAAGAGTAAATAATTCATCACATCTTTTTGAATTTAGCTTATTACTTTTAAATTATATAGAAAAATATGTTATACTTCAATTGCTGTTATATAATGCGCATACTAATTTTTAACAAAAACATTAGTAATTATTTGTTATTTTATACAATAAAGGCATATAGTCAGTGGTGTATTGGTATGTATACGCGGGTATACGCCGTATACCTATCCTATATTAATTTTTTGTGTATACCTAATGTAAAATATTATTTTACGGGTATATGCTTCTAAAATAACTCGTAAACCAAAAAATATTTATTTAATAGTTTGTTGGAAAAAATTGTTATGAACTATGAAATTTGAATGAAATATTTTTATGTTGAAGATTACAGTTTACAGTTTTATTACAGTTTAATGTATTTTAAGTTAAATTTAGTAAATAACATTTTGAAAAATTGATGTTATTAAATATAATTCGGAGTATTGACATATAAATCTGTATCAAGCAATTTATAACGCACGGCAAATGTATATCTTGTGATATATTTTATAGTCTTATTAGAAGTTAAAACATGTAAAGGGTATAATTTAATTTATTCGAGCGTAGCGAGAAAAAAATTGTCAAGCGAAGCGCTAACATTTTTTTAGGATTAATATACATATTTTATCAATACGTATACCCCATATATTTCCCAATACACCACTGCATATAGTAGATAAGAATTTTTGAGCATTTTATTTTAGTTTGTTGTATGTTTAAAGTTGAATTAAACCAAAATTATAAACATGTAGATATGTTTAATTAGTTTAACCTTTTCCTTTTAAACACAGTCGTAGAAGTCTTTATACGACCGTAGTTTTAACTATAATATTAATGAATAATGATTTTTTTTCTCTTAAACAACATTTCTGGAAATTTTCATTAATAAAGTTGTTATAATCCGTAGTATTTAATTTTTTATTTCGGTGAATTGTGAATCCGCCAACACTATGTATATTCAGAATTTTGAATTAGTGTCAAATAATCTAGATTAAAAAGTCAAATTTTCAAAGAATAATAAACGTAAATAAGGTTTTAAGTATAACTTTTAATGCTAGAAAAGTACATTTTTGAGTACTGGAAACTCTTCTTTTCATCCGATGAGTTTCAGTGTAACGTAGTATTGAACGCCCCGCGATGTAATACTTGTCAATATACATCTGCAGTAGGTCACGCGTGTCTTACACATAACACCTATATGTTTTGCACTTCAAATAGGTAACAACATAAAATGACTACAAATGATGTAGGTAGAATGACATGGAATAAACAAGAAAAAACAGTTGAACAATTTTATTTATTTATTTATTTTTTTTTAATATTATTCGTTTTCATTATTTTTGGTATAGATGGCTAAATTTCAAAACATTATGGCCATAGTATTTTGTGTGTCAATTAAAATACATTGAAGATCATGCAGCATACTTATCAAACCGTTATGACGTTATAGCTTTAATGAGGTCTGCACAGTCATTGTGATAAATCCGTGGGATCCTAGCGCGCATAGTAATTATCATTTTATTTTCGCAATGGTTATCCGTAGGTGGAAACTCGAGCTTGATAAACAAAAAAAAGAAAGTACGTCCTTTTCTCTCCTCCCTCTAATTGCACGGCAACGGTCGAAAATTGTCTTTTCAATCGGACCAGCAACTGATCATTAAGTGATGCACATTTTTGCAGGCCACTGCAATTTATTATTATTTACATAGTGATATAATATTGTTATTATATCACTGCTTTACGATAAAGCGTGTAGCTACACTTAGCTTCGTCAACAGTCTATGGAGTATTTATAGATACTCACACGCGTTATTAACATGCATATTTTATATTTTTCTGAAATAAGATTCTTTATTATAATTCTGATAATCACATAATAGACAATAACATCTAATTAATCCACGATGGTTTAATTTTTGGCATATAAATATTTATAAGGTTTTGTGTGTTTAAGTCGAAAATTAGTTTGGCTCATATGTATGTTGTGTGAAGATTTGTATATTTAATCATTATAATGGTATAACAAACATAAAAAATATATTTTTTTTTTTAAATGTTGATAAAATAAAATTATGTGTACGTAAAATTATCACAATTGTTTTTAAGATTAGGAATTAGGATTAGTTATTCTTTAGTCGTATGAGCGTGTTTGTACATTAACTATGTGTTTCGTGTCTTATAGATTCAATGATTTTGTGGACTATTAAGAATTCAAGACATGCGCATGGAGAACGGTTAACTAAAATATTGTTGGCCTCAAAATCACAAAAACAGGCTTTGAAACTTCATCGTTGAAGTCTGTTGATTACGCATTATATCACACTACAGGGGAGGCTGATACGCCATGCTTAACTGCACCGATGCCGAGTGCACGTTGCACCATCACCATATCCACGTGGAATCCATTCAGCATCATCTTCAGGATGATCGACAACACCATGAACATTCCTCGGGTAAATATTTTAAATATTAATTATTTAGAGTAATTGAAAAAACATATGTTAAGAGAATTATTTTAAGGTGTAATATAAGATTTTAAAAGATTTGGTAATTACAATTTAACGAAACAAAAATGGCTGAAATTTCTATATAAAATTAATATTCTTCTTCTTTTCGTATCGGTATATAAAATTAGTGAAACGAGCTTTTGTAAAATTAAAATTTTTAATCATGGATGCGATTATGTGAAAAGAGTTGGTTTTAATTAATGTTAATACTTTGAACTGTTTTTGGGTTGCATGTATTTTAATGTTATGCATCGTTAGTTTTGCTAGAGCTAAGCGTAATAAATGTCCCACACATTTATTGAATCAAACTTTATCTTATATATTATCATTTAAAAATCGTAGGATGTATAAACTGCTATGAATTGACATAATGTAATCCTTTCAAAATTAAAACAACCATTCAATCGTACTTGTATTTAATGTTTTTAAAATAACATTTAGTATAGTCATCTTCCATAAGTATTCGTATATTATAATTAATTTTTCCATTTATTAATCCACTTAATAAAAAACATGATTTTTTCATTTATCAACTTCAAGTATTTAATTAAACTTACTATAATATTTTACTAAAATAGATTGCGGTGAACATTTATGTGTACCTAATATTACAATTTATACCTATATATAATGTAGAACATTCTAATTTGTGTGATTTAATCCATCATCTACAGCAGTGGTCAGCAATCTTTTTGGATCCTTGGACCACATTCACAAATTAAAAAAAAGGGTGCACATGAGGTGCACAAAAGGGGTCATGCAAAATAAAAAATTGATATGATATTCAGTGAAATTTACTAGTTTTGAAATTTAATGCGGACCGTATAAAAGAAACGTGGGCCGGAATCGACCCGCGGGCCGCCAGTTGCCGACTACTGATCTACTGGATACATTAAAATTAAAATTGTAGTATGTAAATATGTCTTAACTACATTGTGTGTTGGATAATTTAAACACAAAAGGGATATTTAAATGTTTCAACACCCTACCCTACTTTCCCCATAAATTATTTGTTGCCCTTCTAAAATGTATAAATAATATTTCTATTTTTATTATATTTAATTATATATAATAATTGTATTATTATACATAATATTCTGGATAATTGTATCGTGGGAATGTTCAGTCTATAGATGTCTATCTCAGTGATTCTAAGCTTATAGTTGTATCATTTAATATGGTTTAGTATGGCTCTCTTTGTAAATATAATAGATATCATATTTTATTAAGTTCACATAAAAATAAGCATAATTTATCCAAATACTATAATTATTTTAAACAAGAAGAAAAAAGTTATGTTTTTCGAATGTTTTTTAAATTGATATTAAACAAGATTTATAATCAAATCAATATTTTATACGGGTATTTACAGCAATAACATAGTTTTTAAAAATATTTTTTAGCTAAAAACAAGTTTACGAAGAATAAAATTTGGAAACATCAGATAATTCTGGGTATTATTTATGACTTGTTTTCAAAACTAATTTTGCAAACAATATTATTATTTATTATTGTTGGGTATTTAGAGAATCTTAATAGCAAATATTATTATAATATTATTTAATAAAAATATAATAAGTACAATAATTAATGAGTAATAAATAACAATAAGTAAAAACAATAATAATCTATATGTATGTATTGATATGTGTGTTCAACATAAAATATCGATATAATTATTTTCCTTTTAATTATATCACATAAAATATATTTAATAAACTTATAAATCAGTAAAAATAATAAAAAAAAAATCGTGATTTTTGATTAAAAATCAATTTTCCGGAAGACAGTGCAAAAATGTAATTGATTGTATTAAATAATATATTAAGATTTATGATAAATATGATAAATTGTATTTATATGTATATGAATAAAATAGTAGGTACATTTTTAATGATACCAGTAAGGTAAATATCTGAAAATTTGTGTTTAATTGAGACTTATGAGTAGGAATTACCCATACCCGAGGCGCCATGGGTAAATGGCCTCAACAACAGTGGTGATCTGATATGGAAGCGCCCTCGGGCGCCAGCGCGTCTCCGAAAGGCACTTTCACTCTCAGTCCCCTCGACTGTATATCGTCCTTGAATGCTGTGTACTCGGCCCATAAAGTTTACCCCTCCAATATTTAGGCCCCTCCATTCAGATGACCATGAACGACATACTATAATTCGTATCTATTATGTTTCTCAACAGAAAAAGCTCTTCTAAAAATACTTAAAACGCAAGCTGGGTTTAAAAATATTGAATTATGAAATTATAAATTTAACAACGCTAACATTTTACATACGTTTTTGTACATTTATTGTAATAATCATATAATATCTAATCTCATCAATATTTTTATCAATTTAAAGTATGTCCCAAGGTGCTTGAACTTTTAGAGTGTTAAAAATTACAGAAATTCAATTACTATACTTCCAACATAAAAAGTTAAAATATCGTGGTATATATCTCTGAAAATAGAAATGTAGGTACCTTTATGTACCTACATAAATTTATGTACCTTTAAATGTACCTTTACTTTTTTATGAGGAATTTAATTTTGTTAGACTGATTGAAAATTCAATATACGATTATATGTTAAGATTATGTATAATTTCTAATATAATGATTAATAAAATATTCAATACATTTATTAATAAAAAATAAATGTATATAAATCTAAAATTCTAAAATATTACGAAGTTTTACTCTATTTTTATTACATTAATATTTATAGCTACTTAGAATTTTTCAGTTAAGTTTGTTGTATTAAGACTAAAATGAATGCATTTGTTTATGAATTTCAAATCAAATGTTTATGATATATTTTTTACACACAATTAATATGAAGAATTTTTCTAAAAGTTATAAAGTATAAATATTCGAACTTATTCATCCTACTTTGTTAAATATATCATAATGTTTAAGTAAAATGTATCATTATAATTTGGCTACATTCCTAAAATTGTCTACACCGAATATTATAAGCACCTTGTTCATCTGTTCAATAATTCAATGGTCATAAACGCGTACAACTAAATTTATTATTCTTGATTATTTTTGCCAAAATAAGCTTACTGCATGCTATGTAATTAATGGGAATTTTGTTTCAACAATAAATTAATGACATAAAACATCCATTATTCTTTTTTAAGTCCATACAATTTTATACTAAATTTGTGATCAAGTTAATATATACTATAGTATATAATAATTATAAATATTATATAGTATTATTTGTTACCTACTATATTAATATTATACTAATATATAATAGTTAATTGTCTCATAAATAATTGTACACAACTTAAAATATTAGCACACATTTTTTCAAAATGGCCATGCATAAATTGCTTACAACTATAATTTTTAATATTTACAATATGGTTAACATGTTAGTAAATATATACTAATAAAATAATGTATAATAATACTAATAAATATAGTATTAATATAATTTTTTTCTTTTTTTTTTATCTTATCTAATTATTTTAACACAATTATACCATATGTACATTTATTTTTCCAATTTTGTTGAAATATACCTTAATGTATTTCAAATTATTTATTTCATCATCCCAGTTCAAAATTAATAAAATAAAATCATAATTTTTCTACATTTTTAGACAAATTATATAGAATTGTACACCTTGTATGAATCAAATCATAATTGAGTATAATAATATAATTATATATCTATGAATATACTATAAATACTTTCATAAGGATTTTATAATCTAAAGAATATTATTGTACAATAATTAATTGAAGCGTGTTGAATGATTTTAATAAAATGGCCTATTCAAGGACTTTGGAATAATTTAAATTTTTATTGTTATTCTTACGTTTATTTGTACTACGACTGTTGGAATTATAACCAAGAAAATGTTTGTTCTATGTGATACAATCGAGGAAAATAAAATTGTTTTCATTTCTTGAGCTTGAGGTCTCATCTCAAAATATATTTTTGTTAAAATATAACGATATAATTTATATTTTCTATTATTACTTACCAAGAAAAATATTTTAAGGGCAGGAATAAATTTACCTTTATTATTACAATTTTTTAATTATAATGTGTACAGAGGCATTAAAAAACAAGTTTGTTATAACATTTCTTAATGCAGTAAAAACTATGAATGGCATGGAAACTTGCCAATACAATTGGTAGATAATTAATGTTTTCTACTTGATTCACAATTCGCATATAGTGACAATTATGTAACAATCATTAATACGAACACGTTTTGCGAACACGTTCAGACGACAATTTTTCTTTTTATTATTATTTTATTTGAACATCGATTGGTCAGTTATGGAATGATTAAAATTTAGTCCAGGGTTTTAAACTTTTGAATAATCGCTATCTTCATTTAAAACTTAAATTAAATCAGCAGAAACTATAAATTGAGGAATGATGCATTTTATTAAAAATTATATTAACCTCTGAATATCAATAACATTCTCGTATTTTTATATATTATTTATTTTATATGTAATTTAAAACTAATATATTTTATGTTAATTTACTAAAATAAACCTAATGTCTTCTAGGTATATAGTCATTTTAAAGGCACACGTTCAACAATATTTATAACTGTGAGTGTAAATACCTATATTAGACACCTATACTAAAAGTGTTATACTATTTTATTCTGTTGGTGTTTTTATGGTTCTTTAAATAGAAGTATTGACGCATTGATAACTAGTAATAAGTAATACAGGTTAGATCATGAAATTTGTCTTATAATAGGGTAATCAGACATCCTGTTTAAAATAGGACTGTAGTACTTACCGTATTCTTGAGTAGAGTGAAACAAGACTTGTTCATTAATGTTTTTTTTATTATATAATTAAAACATACGATGACGATTATTTAATAAACATTATATTTTATAGAATTACATTTATTAAATGTCATACATGTCTTATGTACTAGAAATAAATTGTATCAATAATAT